TGTCCCTAGCCTTGCTCAAGCTTCTGGTTCCTTACGGGTAGAGTGGGGCAATAACAGGACTTACCTTGTGAGGTTGTGAAGGATTCAGATAATGGTAATAAGTCCCATTTCCTGATCGCTTACCCTGTCCAGTACCTACATGTTCTGTAAGAATTAGAATATATATTTGGTCTGATAATGTATCTATTATACTTACGCACATAGACACTAAAAAGTAGTTGGTCTCTGTGCATAGAGGTTTCTTATTATGTATACAATTGCATAGAGTTCTATTAAACATATGTGTATCTGTACGTATACTAGATATACTATGTATCTTAACAGTCTGGTTCTGTTTCTCAGGCTGCAGTGTAGTGGTGCAATTATGGCTCACTGCAATCTTGCACTCCCAGGTTCAAAAGATCGTCTCACCTCAGCCTCCCTAGTAGTTGGCACCACAGGGGTGCCACCACCACACATGGCTCATCTTTTAATCTTTTGTTCGAGACAAGGTCTCCCTATGTTGCTCACACTGGTCTTGAACTCCTGGGCTCAAGTGATCCTCCAGCCTCTGCCTGCTTCCCCAAAGTGCTGGGATTATAGGTGTGAGCCACCACACCCAGCCAAAATGTGTATATTATTTGATCTTTAAAATATTTGAATGCATATGGATACATGTACATTGTATAGATATATATGTGATTTATTAGATAAAATGCTTTGTTAGGCTAAGTGTTTTGTGTGTTTTAATGTATCTCGTTATAAGAACCCTTTAAGGTAATGGTGCAATTATCCCCAATTCATGGGTGAGGTAACTGAAAGAGGTCAGGAGAGGTTCTCAATGCCTTCTGTATGAACTTAGACACTTCTGTAAATACACAGATCATATATTTTGTAGAGTGTCTGGCAATGTATTAACAAATTTTATCTATTCCTAATAGATGTTACAATACTTGGTCCTTTTAGAAAATGACACTATTAGCTTTAAAGCCTCTGTATTTTCACCACAATGCCACCTTGCTACTGAGAGAACGTTACCCCTTTGAGATAGTTGGCAAATTCCCTTCTTCAGGCCAAATACCTGTGATCCAATCAGCCTTTACAGACCAGAGAGGCTTCACTTTCCGCCACCCCCCACCCCCCAGGTCTTCCAGGAGGGCAACCGGTGCACAGCATGTAAGACTAGACCCTTGTGGGAGACTGTTCAAAAGGGCCAAGGTTCAACCCCAAATCTACCTCCCTTTAAACTGCCGACAGCAGCAATGAGATGCCCTGGCTTTACCCATGGGTCAAAGGACTGGGTTTTTATGCTCTGAGATGAACTGGTTCTTGGTCCAATATCAAGCATCAGGTTCAGTCCTGAGCAGTTGTACAATAAGCATTTTGGACCCTTCAGAAAAGGACTGCAGCTTGTGAGTTTACATGCAAATCTAATATATTCGTGTATACACACACATGTATTATCCAGGATGATGAAAAAACACGAACTCCCTCCCCCACCAAAAGGCTTTGTAAGTTTTCCAACAAAAAATTATTTTGAGAACATTGAGTCCCAGGTATTCACTGGTTTAACAAAAACCTTTCTCATGACACCCTGTGATTGAGAATATGCTTTTGATGTATAGGTACATGTAGGTATGTGCTTGTGGATGTATGCACAGAGATCCCATGTACACATGAACATGCGTGCACACACATTTGTTAGCTCTCCCAACGGTGTCTTCTATCTGGAGGAAGAACTGAGCATGAACACAATCAAAAATCAATGGACGATGGTACCTCCTAGGTGATGATGGTTTTAACCTCACGGGTGCTGAAAGCAGAGGGGTCTAGGAATCTGCTTTTTCAAGCTCACCAGGTTCTAAGGTCTGTAGCACATAGGTTGGATGGACACTCAGCAGTAACAAAGCTTTCGCTTGTGTGCACATGCGTGTATGCGTGAGAGAATGAGTGCTCACGAAAACTGCATTTCCTTCCAAAATGGCTACTTCCCAGGAAGTAGAAAGAGGCTTCAGAAGACATAAGTAGTAAAAGTTGTCAGGATGTTGAGTGGGAACTTAGTGATCCAAACTAACTGAACTGTATCTGTAATATTTTTGTTAAGATGGAGAAGATTTTACTGTTCAACATCTTGCTTTAAGAAATACATAGCTGGCCAGGCACGGTGGCTCGTGCCTGTCATCCCAGCACTTTGGGAGGCTAAGGTGGGTGGATTACCTGAGGCCAGGAGTTTGAGAACCAGGCTGGCCAACATGGTGAAACCCCATCTCTACTAAAAATGCAAAAAAAAATAGCTGAATGTGGTAGCAACTGCCTGTAGTCCCAGCTACTAGTGGGGCTGAGGCAGGAGAATCACTTGAACCTGGGAGGCAGACGTAGCAGTGGGCCGAGATCATGCCACTGCACTCCAGCCTCGGTGACAGAGTGAGACTCCACCTCAAAAAAGAAAAAGCCAGTGGGATGAAGCAGTGGCTACCCCTCAGGCACTGTCCATACAAAATGCCAGCCAGCCTCTATTTCTGCACGAAGCATATGTATGGCATATGGGCTTCCTTTGGGCTTATTTTCTCACCTCTGCCCACACTCTAGGAGGGGGGAAGGACAGGAGTGGGATGGCAAGAATCTGCATCCACTGGCCAGGTCTCTTAAACTCGTTCGCTTCTGCCATCAGTTATTAAATTTCACATAAAACTTACATGCTTATCTCTATTTTGGATAAGAGCCTGCTTTGGGAGATTCTAATGTAAACTGTATCTGTCATCATCTCTTACAGCCTATTTAGTGGGGAAGCGCTCAGGTATAAACCAGTATTTTAGGAAACCCTTATCTCCCTCCCTGTGAGGATAAAGCTAGTGACTTGTTTTAATTAGGATATCCATACATACTGTGTAAGGAGAGCACAAGCATCCCAAGTTTAACATCACCACCACCATTACCACCATCACCATGGATAACAAAGTGGGCATAGACTTCGGGGTCAGACAGTTGATGTTGTGCTCTTTCAACACTCGTTAGATACAGCTTTGGGCAAATCACACGACCTATCGGATCCTTCCTGTCCTCATAAAATAAGGGTAACACTATCCTGAAGGATCAATTGACATAGGCCAATACAAGTTGATAACCTGCATGATCTTCATATATAAGGAGTTTACAGAGAAGGGATGATTACTTATACTGAAATAAGATGTATGCTGTTAAGACAACCTGGAGTGTGGAAGAATGGAGAACAAAGAGCCTGCAGGTGGCACACAGGGTTAAACTCATGTATAAAGTTCTTATTAAGTTCTTATTGGTCAGGTGAGAACATGCCTTGTCAGTTAAGGGTGTGCATTCTGGAATCCTAGGGTGAGCACCTCCTTGCTGTGTGACCTTGGAGAATTTAATCTGTTTACTTCACCTGTGGATAATAGCGTACAGTTGAAGTACTGCTGCAAGCACTTTACAAAGATTGCTTTCTTCTCCATAACAATATTAGGTCAGTGCAGTTATCATCCTGAGGTGTAGGTGAGGAAACTGAGGCACAGTGCTTTGGTTTAATTCATCCTGGATTGCCACCAGCAAGTGACAGAATCAGGGTGTACACTCAGTATCTAGAACGCACATTTTAAAAACCTTTGTCTTACCACCTTATTAAAAATATTGAGATAAAATGAGAGAGGATTAAGATACTAAGTAACTAAATGGGGTGGACAGTTCAACTCTAAGATTTTTAAATAACGAACACACGACTTTTGGCTCCTAATGGGCACTCAATGTATGTGAACTCTCACTTGTTATACTTTTTTCATCTTATCCAAGGTCTCCCAAAAAGTCGTTAATAGCTCAAACATATTTGAAGATGAGTGATGTTATTTTGTTTTAAACCGAAGACTGACACTTCCATGCTGGGAGACGGCTAAGCTTAGTTCAGTTTCTTAAACAGCTAAGGTGAGTTCCACTGACTTCTTTGGAAAAATGGGTGAGGAAGGGGAAGCACTTTGAACCAGAAAACCAGGGCACTTGCCAGAGGCATCTGGTCTACTGGTGGCCAGGGCAGCCTGCTGCTCACTTGAGCAATACCCACCCCCCCAACCCCATCTCCGGGTGGGCCCAGTGCAGTCACACCTGTGGACAATGAATCCACCCACTGAGAAAACCCATGGTAGCCAAAAAACTCAGAACACCAACTTGTACCTTTTCAGACTAAGCTTTTATTTTTTTGATATTACAAACCAGTTTTCTTTATTCACAAACCACTGTAAGTGATATAAACACTAATTTCTAAAGACAGATATACACATTTTCTGGGTTTGCAGATTGCGTGATGTGTGTGTTAAGAAGTCACTATATGCCACACATAATAGTAATTTTCCATAATTCATAATAGCAATAGTTATTTAGATAAATGAAAACATTCCAAATAAATACTGTTTAAAAAAAATCCAAAATGTTTGTTTACATCTCTGACATACATTTTTAAAATGACTTATTGGCATCTTGGAGTGCCTAGACAAAAGATTCTGCAACATCAGTTGGCACCCACTTACTCTAAATGATTTTATTAAAACTACATACAGTCATGGGGGAAAGTACAGCTCATTGATGAAAATCAAAACCGCAAATGAATTTTACTTTAACCAACACAGTAAGAATTCTATGTTTGTGATTCGAAACACAATACAAATTCTGGATTTTGAAATCTGAGGCAATTGGGAGAAATTTATTCTCCATAGCCCCCCTGCTCCTACTCTTTCTTTCCCTCCCTTTCCCTCCGGAGGATGCCATCGTATTTTAATAACTCGTTTCCTTTAAGAACATCAGTGAGGCACCCATTGCCATAACACTATTTTCCAGGTGGGGGAATGAGAATGTCTCAGTGATGCTATAAAACACCCCCTTGCCCCTCCCCTCACCCACCCAAAGAAGTGTGGTGAAAAGAACACTTCATATGCTTTTGGCTGATAAACTTTCTTCCCCCTCCCCCTTTTCTCTTTTCAAGATCACTATCTGTCTTAGATATGGAAGCTACAGAAACTTTGTTTTCAAATCTTGTGAAACTTTATTGATGGTTTAATATCCAACTGATCTTACGGCATGCACATAGGATGGCAAGAGAAAGCTGGATCACACTTTTTTTTTTTTTTTTAAGTTTTGTTTGGTTTTGTTTTAAAGCAGAGTTGTTACAGCGGATTGGCAGGTTCACAGCGGTGAGTTGATAACTTACTGAAGTGCGTGCCCCAGGGCCTGCACTGTACACATGAGGACTTAACCTATGGCAGCAAAACTACTCAGGGACAGCCTGCTGCTGTTTTCATTTAAATACAAAAACAGGAAGACCCGTGACAGATACCCCAACTTAGGTTAACTTGTAAACAGGACAACGTGGAAAGTTCAAACAGAAGTACAGACAAACTGCAATTTTTCGGCTGTGTCACTCTGGCCCTGCATCCAAGAAAAAGGGGGAGACTTGGTTCTTTTGGGATGAAGAGAATGGATCTACTTTGTTGTTTTTGTTTTTTGCATCCTTCTGACAAGTGTCCTGGGCCATGGAGATAGAACTAAAGAGATCATTTTGAGATAATCCTTGGGTATGGGAAAGAGGTGGAAGGGCAGGATCTCACGGACTGAAAAATTGCAGATTGCTCACACAACGCAGTCACGTTTCAAAAAGTACCAAGCTGATGAAAATACCATGATTATCTCTACTCAATGATTGCAATACTTGTAAAATGCTTCTATAAATCCGAATATGATTATCATGTAATTCCATAAAAATTATACGTCTGTCTCTAACAGTTGTTCTACTAGGCTAAAACTAAAGCTTCATAGACTGTTTCTAGAACTTAACAACTCCACTGCACAGATGTAAATTTTATACATTTTTTAACTGGTACAAAGAATTTAAGTTATTACTTTCTTTTTTTGGAAAAAAAGAAAAAAATAGAAACAGTGCTTTTTATCACCTTTTTATTAATGTTATTTTTTCCCTCCCATAATATAAAAGTCAGCAATGATATCAATAATTTATTATACTGGAAGAAATATAAAAAGAATGTTTGTTGATGGCCTAACTAGCGGGTTTTTTTTTTCCCCCCTAAATAGCGAGTGGTTAAGAAGCTGAATACTGCCGGGTGGAATGGTTTAAAGGGTGGGTTTTTGCACAGCTTCATTCAACTCAGATGCACAAGTGCTACTAGAAGCACCCCCTTAACAACATAACCTTTGGCTTGAACTGGCAATGAGTAACTTAGAACCATTGATAAATGATTGTTGGTGCAGTGGGTCGTTTAGATTCATCAGTTATATATTTTTTTGTCTTTCAGCCAAACCCCAGTTCCAATCCCCTAAGCCCCTCCCAACCTCCCCTTTCACAAAATAAAATAATGCAGATGCAGAAAAAAATGACTACTGTAGTCACTTACACTCTTCCCAAACAGCTGATAACCCCAGTTAGCTTAATATTCAGCATATATAATTCATTTACATAATATAGCACTCTGGATATGGCCCTAAACCAGTTTTTATTCATATCTAGCGTCTGTCTAGATCAACCACAAAAACTCCTACAGCCAGCAACCAAACTACGGAACCTTCGGAAATTAAAGACCCACAATATTAAAATACACAGAACAAAATATCTGAGGTATAAGATAAAAAATGTAATTTTTTTCCTTTTATTTGTATTTTTTTTTTTTTTTTTAGAGTTGCTAAAATGATGTACTACTGCATGTATTGCAATACTCAGGCCTCGGAAAGCTTCCTTTCTCCCCACATTGGAAGGTTTTTATGGTTTTGTCATTTAGTATGGAGCAAAACGGTTGTATCCCCCTCGGTATATACTAGCCTGCAATGAAGAAAGAACGAGACCCACATCATCAGCATGGCTCCTAGTCTTGGCATCAGTCAAAGGTGCAAAAGCATTCTGAAACAAAGCAATTTGAGGGGTGTGTTTTTTACATTTTCCTTTTGCAACATGTGGATCATCAAAAAGACTAATGTGAAAAATAGACACTCAAAACCAACCGAAATGGAGGCACCCCCTACCCATCCCAGGTCATTCTTGGAGAACTAAAGATAGGGCCTTTCTTGACCCTCCCCAATAGCTCCTCCTAAAGAAATTCCCTGTAAAACCAAATTCTTTCAGCCCAGTCCTCTTAGCTAAAAGGACTCTCATAAGCTGGACAACTGAAGGATTTTCACTGTCTCATTTTTTTATTGGACTGGATTAAGCTTCCCCAAGGGAACAGAATAATCTACACTTGAGGTTGAATTTGAACAATTTACTGAATGTAATTCAACTCGCCAACACACTCCTCAAGTGGACGAGGTGTTGAAGCAGAGTTGTTGCATGCAGAATTGGGATGAAAATCTGAATCTACTTCTTACTTGACTTGGCTCTGCAAGCTGTATAGAATCTGATCTGGAGAAGGGAAGTTGTACAGATGAATTGCTTGATGTAATTAAGCTTGTGCAAAACAATGTTTCCAGATCATGGCTGAATTTCTACGACTGAGCATCAGTGAAGTGTCTGGCCATGGCTTTAATAGCTACAAGGTGGCACTTAACGATTTCCTTCTTCTAAAAGTATTGGCAATTCAAATGAATGCCTACGGGGATTCATTTTTAGGATAAGGACTGATATTCTTGATCCGAGCAGAAAACTGCATGCCAAAGCTTTGTAATGATTGCATATGCTCTCACGTGATGGGCACGTCTTACTGTACTCAAGAGTTTCAGTGCATAGAAGTTTGAACAAGTACAGGCAAGTTGACCCCACCCTTACCTCCCTTTTTTTTACCCTCCCCCCACCCGCTCCCAAAACAAAAACCCAGACCTGCCCCAAAACAAAAGACAACCCCCAAACCCAGCTGATTCCTTCTACTTTCTTATGTACTAGGTACACAAAGTGTGCCCCTCTCTATTTTCTTTCCTGGGCGACTATGACTTTAAACATGAATTGTAATAGGGGAGGAGAGGCAGTCAGATTCTCAGCTGCCTGACAGCAGAGGCCTGGAAGTGTGCAGCTTAGCTCCTCTGAAGTCTGTGCTGGGGCTGGAACCTTGGGGCTATGTGAATGAGCAGCAAGGGAGGAAAAAAGAAAAAAAAAGTTCTGCATTGACACTGCATTCTGTTAGTGATGGATTTAATTATCAAAATGACTAATTATTCCATTAAGGTAAGTGCTCCGCTAGGTGAGACTTGCAAAATTAGAAATATAATAACTTACATGCACTACATTGCCAAGAAATTAAGACATTTATCAAGTTTACTGGGAGGATTAATGTGCCATTTTAGCTGCTGTTAGCACAAGAGACAAATTCAATTAAGGGGAAGTGAGAGGACGTCAACCCGTACTGAGGTCCCAGCTGGGGGAAGGGAAGGGGGGAGGCAGGAAGAAGTTGAGGACAAGGAGAAACTGGTACTCACCATGGCACCAACGCCGTAGGTGGGGGCTGGAGCAAGTGCGTGGTGGTAGGGGTCGGCAGCATAAACTCGTCCGTAACTGAAAGGAAAATAGAGGTGAAGAGTGATCCGTAGTACATAATTACAAAATAACAATCATAAAATCCAAAATACCAAGACAGTATGGAGGGGGTGTCCTACTCATCTTGGAGTAAGAAACAAATTCTACTTTGCCATGTAATAGTTCATCTGTGCACAATGCATTTTTTGTGCATTTCACATGGCTGATCATATTGCTATGTTTAACAGATAAATATATATACATACACACGTACATATACATAATAATTTTCCCTGCCTCCCCACATAACATTGTTTCTACACTGCTGAAGTAACTGCCTTAGAGATTGAGGTAGGCAAGAAAGAAACAACTTGAAGTATTAAGCCCAGCACCCATGGAGGGTGGAATGTTTATTCTCAAGAGTGCCTTTTTCCCCTGATTCAACTGTCACCATTCAAGTGAAATAGGGTGAATAGGAAAGGGTGAAGTGAACCTGTTTGAAGTTAGTGTCCAGCATCTTAGAATGGAAATGAACAAGTGTATTTGAATGGAAGCACCCTTGAAGGATCTGTGGGACCCCCATTCCCGTTCAATCAGACTGATTTGGTTTTGATCCTATTATTTCAGAACTTCAGTCTCATTCATCGATGGCCAGGTTCTGGGAAGGGAGAGGCATTTGAAACAACAAATCTTTGACATTTATTCATCTGTGTTTTTCTGTCTCTATCATCCTACTCCCTGCCATGGCTTCTGGTATAGGCTTTAGAATAAAAATGAAGAGATGGAAAGCAAACGTACTGAATGCCTGCTAAATATCTGGAAGTGTTTTTTTTTTTTTTTTTTTTGGAATCAGATGTGAAGTCACTTGCTCAAGGTCACAACTAGACAGCTAATTCTTGAATTTTCTTTTTTTTGGTCGGGGGGTGGGTATGGGGGAGACAAAGTCTTGCTGTGTAGCCCAGGCTGGTTCAAAACTCCAGGGTGCAAGTAATCTACCTGCCTCAGCCTACCAAAATGTTAGGATTACAGGCATGAGCCACTACACCCAGCCTGATCGTTGAATCTCTTAAGGCAACTTGCGTGCTTGGTCCACCGTATCCTCTGCCCGTACTTGTTTGCCCTGCCGCATAAATGGTGCTATTTTAATATTGACTGAAGCTGAGGTCCATTCCTTGAAAGCTGATTCTGGAATAGAGATTCCTGTGCAAGTGACTTATTGAAGGGGAGGTACCCTTAAGAGGAAGAGAGGGACAAGTAGGTCAGAGCAAGGGAAAAAAGCAAGGTCTGAGATGAACAATATCTGCCACCTGATCCTGTGAGTTTCATGCTGCAGCTGGTTCCACCTGGAGGCAAGCGGGTTGGCTTTTTAATGCCCACATACATTTTAAGCATTAGCTGTGGGCTTTCCTGAGGAGTGAGTGATGCACCACTGAGTTTGATGCACCACTGAGTTAAAGTGGCTTCCTCTGACGTGGCACAATTTTCTGGAGAAGGGAGCAGCTGTATCTGTTGGCAACCAACATTCACAGCAGCTCGGGATGAATGCATCAGTCACTCAGTGGGATCTACATGGTTTTTTGATTCTTTGACCATTTCCTGAATGAAGGAACAAGGCTGGAAGAAATGAGTCTGTCTGCATTATCAACCTTAAACTCATCTCCCATCCCTTAGGGTCCAATTTGCATGTACTTTTTCCCTCTCCTTTCCTGTTTTCGCCCATTTTCCTTCCAATCTTTCTCACAGTTGGTAGATAAGTCACACCAATCCAATACATGCTTGACCCCTCACACTGTGGAGTCTGGGAAGGTGAAGGAAACGGGATGATGGTCCTTCTTAGACTCCAAGTTAGACCCTAGGTGGAATAAAACAATTATACCAGGTTTACATTGATCATGTTCCAACTGTCAAAGGGCACTGAGTGTGCAAATAATCTAAATGAGGCTTTCAGCTTCAACAGGATTCTCCTGATCCTCAAACAATGACATAAAGGGATGCCTCTGTTCCGAGGTAAATAATGCACTTTCATTTGGCAAAGCTATTTCATAAATAGGATATAAACTGCAAAGGCAAACTGAAATCTTTGAGACTTTGTTAAGTGATGTTATGGCATGGTGTTACTTCAAAACAAGTGTGAAAAGATGCAAATTCAGATATTTAATTTTAAAAATTACGGAAATGGTTTTACTGTGGCAATAATTTCTTCTTCTAGGGAGACACTATATGGGCAGTTTGAATGTACTGAATAAAAGTGTAGCTCCCACCTTTTACTACTGCATACTTTAATGGTAAATTCTATAACACTGGGCATAGTTTCAACCTTTGTGGAAAACCCAAGGTAACAATTTGGCAGTAGTCTCTTCCAAGGCAGAAGGAAAATACCGCAGCACTGAACTATTCCTCAGAAATGAGCTGGCTGCTTTTCTCCTCAGGGTGACCTCTACCTTCAGAATCCAATGGTTTTATTATGATTAATAAATTTCATTTCCATAGAGGAAAAGAGACCATGTCAGCTCAAACTGAAAGCAAGGAGGCTCCTTTTCAAATGCTAATTTCTAAACACGCCCTTGTGTGACACTACAATTTAGACACAAGGTTATTAGGGAAGATGTGGACTTGAGTGCTACGTTTGCAGCAGATATGCCAAGCACGTCAGCAATCTGATACACGCAGAGCTGGCTAAGCACAGCCCGGAGACAGAGCAAGGCAATGCCCAGGACATCTGCAGGAATGATGGGAAGATGTCTTACGGTCGCCATGTTAAGACATGACCTGCAATATGGTCATCCTCCATACCATGCATCCCTGGCCAAAGTGGGCAGTAGTGCAGTCAGATCATGATCTCCATGTCCCCACTTCCCATTCATCAGTAATTTCAGAAGAAATCTTAAATGTGTCCACTTCACACACATGATGACTACACTAATATAAACCACTAGTAGTTCATCAAAACCAACTCAACAGCCTGAAATCTTGTCTTTGTTCAACCCTTGCTCCTTCAAATCAGCAGCTATTTACATGTATCAAATCTCTCAAGTCCATCTATCCACTTAAGTATAAATTTATATACATCTAAATCCTATCACTCCCTGCTTAAAACCCTTCAATGGTTTTCCATTGATCTTAGAACAAAATCCAAACTTTCATAAGCTGCCTCTGCCCCTCTTTCAATCTTCACCTTCCTTCCCTTGGCCCTTGGTTACTGCTCCAGGTACACAGGATTTTTTTTTTTTTTTGAGACAGAGTCTTCCTCTGTTGCCCAGGCTGGAGTGCAGTGGTGCAATCTCCACTCACTGCAAGCTACACCTCCCGGGTTTACACTATTCTGCTGCCTTCAGCCTCCTGAGTAGCTGGGACAACAGGCACTTGACACCAAGCCTGGCTAATATTTTTTGTATTTTTAATAGACACGGGGTTTCACCATGTTAGCCAGGATGGTCTCAATTTCCTGACCTAGTGATCCGCCTGCCTCAGCCTCCCAAAGTGCTGGGATTACAGGCGTGAGCCACTGTACCTGGCCCACACAGGCTTTTTTAATCGTTCCTTCACACATGCAAATCTATTCTCTGCTTAGTCTTGGCACTTGCTCACCCTCCACCTGACTTTCAGCTTTTATGTTTCAAATCAAATGTCTCTTCCCTAGAGAGAAAGAGATGCTTCCTTCTCTGGCTCTCTGACTGACTTTTTTTTTTTTTTTTTTTTTGGTGTCAGAGTCTTGCTTCGTTCCCCAGGCTGGATTGCAGTGGCATGATCTCAGCTCACACTAACCTCTGTCTCCCAGGTTCAAGCAATTCTCCTGCCTCAACCTCCCTAGTAGCTGGGATTGAAGGCACCCACCACCACGCCTGGCTAATTTTTATATTTTTTTAGTAGAGAACACTGTTTCGCCATGTTGGCCAGGCTGGTCTTGAACTCCTAACCTCAAATGATTTGCCCACCTCGGCCTCCCAAAGTGCTAGGATTACAGACGTGAGCTACCGCACCCAGCCTGACTGCTCTTTAAGGGCACTTTCCAACTTCATCCCTATCCCTTCATGGCATATAGCAACTCGAATCTTATTCCTACCCCACCTGATCATTTACCTTTCACCCTCCTGGAATGAGAGCTCCATGCAGGCTGGGGCAGTGTCTATTTTGTCTGCCTTTACATTCCCAGTGTCTAGCACAGCCCTTGCCACAGTGCAGGTAGAGAGGGGCAGACCAATGGTACCGCAGGAGAGGAGGCAGCCAGACGAAGGAGTAAAGAGGGAAATGGGGCCTGGGAGATACTCATGCCAGTAATTACGATCCCACTAGTAGAATCTATCAGTATATTCTTTCAGATATGCTTTTTGAAGATTCTGGGTCAGCTGCTCCATGACACATTCAGAACCCTTCAAGACAGAAGAAAAGTTTCTGGGGACTTCTAGAAATAGTGTATAATTTTTTTACATTGCTTCTGTGAGTTTGCAAAAACACTGGCCAAGTTGCCCTAAAACTCATCAAAAGCTTCTGGGGAAAAACGAAACAAAGATATCATAGAGGACTACTTTCCTGGTGAACTCTCACCACAGATTGCAACCATCATGAGACCTCATCTTTTTGACCTTTAGCAACAAGTTAAAACTGGAAAGCAACCCGAGACCTTGCGGATTCACTACTTGGGGCAAGAAGATCCAGGTTTGAGTTCTGCTTTGATGATGTCCTTGTTCTCATGACTTGACGGAGCATGCTTTCTGAGCCTTGATCTTCCTCATTTGTAAAGTAGTAATTTTCTGAGCCCTGCCTAATTCAAGGTGCATTCAAGAAAACCAGGTAGATTTTAAGCCACCTACAGCTACAGGAGATCATCATGCACAGCTTCTTAGATGGTATTTCACAAACCAATTTCTCCCTCCTTGCCCAGACTTTTGGTCTGCAGAGGCAAGTGAAAGATTCTATTCTAATATAATCACATGCAACTCTACCAATCAAATTACAGATGCTTTTGGAGTCAAGATCTAATTTATGAGTTACAGATGTCGTTTAAATAGATACACTTACTTGCACTTAAGGTCGTGTTG